TGAACCATTCGGAATAGCCGTGGAGTTTAAAGCATGTGTCCCTAGTGTGTCCTCTGTTCTTGCAATGAGTGCATATTATGTTGCCTTTGTCCTTTTTCCGGTTTTGTGGCCTTAGAGTTTTCTTTGGGTTAGCATAAAAAAGGTCGGCATCCCTTCAGATATATTACTGATTTTTACTTCTCTTTTTTTCTCAACACTGAGCACCATTGAGTAAGCTTTGTTAACAGTGGGTAATGGTTCTATAATCAAGATTTGATTTCTCACGTGATCGTATGTGTCATTAAGACCCATCAAAAATTGAATTAAGTTGTCTGTGCTGTCAATTTCACTATACAGGTAGCAGCTTTGCAAGTACATGCAGGTAATGGTCTCAAATAACTCAGTTCATCCTAAAGTATTTTTAATTTTGTAAAATAAGCAACAACCGAAAGGCCTGATTGAGTAATGGAACTAATTTCTCTTTTAAATTGATACAGTAGAGGACCATTGTTTTCTTCATACCTTTTTTTATTTTTATCCCACATATTTTTTGCATATGTGGTGTACAAGAATGTGCTAGCCAGCTCCTTGGTCATTGAGTTGAGGATCCAGGACACCACCATGCTATCTGCCTTTTGCCAACGTTCATATTATGCTATGTTGGGGACTAGTTTCTCAAATATGCCATCAACAAGAGCTAACTTATCTTTAGCTCTTAGAGCAATCATCATGTCTCAGCTCCAAGCGAGGTAATTAAAGCCATCAAGAGGTGCGGTGACCTGCTGCATTCTGGGCTGATCTGAGCTTTGGAGGGTCAGCATGTCGGTAGTAGGATTTGGATTTGGGTTAGTCATTGTAAAGGTAGATTAGCAGTAAAATTTAATGAAACCGTGCTTAGTACAAGCACTGATCTGATACCATAAAAAAAAGAATAAATTTATTATTTTTGTGTGTATCTTTTATTATGTATAGGTAGGTATATATACACTCGGGGAAGAGGAAAATACACTAATCGAGAAAAAAAAAACCCTAACAAATTGCTTAACAAACCAAAAACAAAAACAAATTCTAAAATCTACTTTTACAACTGTCTACAACATATAGCAACTGTTAATTTTCATCGTCCACTTGCCCTCAATCTCAGCATTCTTTTCATCTAGCCCTTCATTTTCTTCTTTCAATCTCAACCGTCCATTTGTTTCAAACCCTAGCAGAGAACTTTCACTCTTTTGTAATGTGCATTTGTAGAGCTACATTGGAGACACAAAGAGAGATAAATAGCGACCCATTTCTTGCTCACGATTGTTAAGATAATACCGATTTCTTCTCAAACTTTCTCCTGATGATCTTTTAGATTTTGTGCCTAGAGAGAGTTTCAAATCAACATGACCATGACCATTACCAGCTTTCCCTTTTTCCTTTCTTTTACCCATGGAGGTTGGTGCGACAGCTAATGTTAAGGTTTCGCCAAAGCCATCCATGCTAGTTGATTGACCTTCATGGAGGTCTTGTGCGGACCTCTTTCTGCTTTCTTCACCACCAAATTGAAGAGCTCTCGAAGAATTTGCTACACGTCTGACAAACAAACGTATATAAAACTGTAATAATCGTAAAATCACTAATACATGTATATATATATATATATATACTACTTGTGTCAATTAGAATTAAATATGACAGAAAATCAACATAATATTTCACGAAAAATAAATAAAAAATATTTTTTCTTTTCCTATCGATTAATTATCCATTCTTAAGTGTTTTGATCAATATGAATAATGTACTTTAAATATTAATAATATATACTTAAAATGACCTAAAATAAACAGAACATTTAATAAAATAGAAAATAATAGAAAATTAAGCATATATATATATTAATTTATAAATATGATAATTTTTCATTTATTTAATATTTATTATGATATATATATATATAATTTAAATATTGATTTTTGGGTACGATTTATTATAATCTAATTTAAATAATTAAAATTGTATTCTTTGCTACCTATTATGGGTATATAGTTTAATCAAATTAAATATATACCTTTTACAAAATATTTATTATGATATATATATGCTTTAAATATTGACTTTTTAGGTACTATTTATTACAATCCAATTTAAATAATTAAAATCATATTCTTTGCTACCTTTTATGGGTATATAGTTTAATCAAATTAAATATATACCTTTTACAAAATTTCATTTAGTTAATTTTTATTATGATATATATATATATATATATATATATATATCCACTTCAAGTATTGACTTTTTGGTTACTATTTATTACAATCCAATTTAAATAATTAAAATCATATTCTTTGCTACCTATTATGGGTATATAGTTTAATCAAATTAAACACATACCTTTTACAAAGTTTCCTTTGATCTTCACATTGCTCCCACTCTTTAATTTTTTTAGCCCGATACAACTGTTTTAACCAAATAGACAATATTTACAAAGGAAATAAATTAAAAATAAAACACTATATATACATCAATATATGCACATAAATAAAGATAGTAATATATCTTATATACATTATACTTGTTGAAATCTTTCAGATACAACAAAAAAAAAAAAGAAAAAAAAACATTACCTGTAAATGACTATTGAGATGAGAAATATTAAGTTCCGGAATATTCATCTTCTGCAACAACTGTTTCGGAGTTGCTTCTAAACAATTAACCAAATATGTATAATCACATATATATTCTCAATATATAATAAGAGATTTAATGTTAATTGATTTTTTAGAATTAAATTGAACTTGGCACTAAATAACGCATATAAGATTGTTTATTATATTATATATAGGTGTACATATATTGAAAGTAAAAGATTATCTTACTGAATGCACCCCCAAGTCTCTCTACAGCTTCAACAAAACATTGATGGAGTGTAGGATTCCATTTTAACCTAGGCACCTCTGATCGTACATATTTTCTCACCTTCTTGTTTGTCTCCATTACTACTTCAAAATTTAATATCAGAAGAATGGATATAATTATATTGTGCATTAATAAATCTAGTGTTTGTGTATATATATATATATATATATATATATATACACAAAATAATATTAGATATATCTAGCTAGTAAACCTTTTTGGGTGTAATAATTAATTTCATTCTTCCATATATTTTTCCTTTAATGGTGTAACCCAAAAAAGGCAACTAATCCCCCGGAAAGTAAAGTACATTTTTCCATATATATATATCTAATGAATGGAAATTTTCCACCTCCTAGTCTAAAAAAATTTAGAGACTTGAATTTTCTTTTCCAAAATATAGACCAAAAAATTATATATATGGATATATATGTAGTTTTGGGGAAATATAATCCATTTAAGGAAATGAATCTATACATATCTCTAGATTTGGTCATTTTCCAGAAAAGGAATGATATAGACAATAGTTGAAATTTTATTAAGCTTCTACCTTCTATGGTTGTATAGCTACTTAGTTGTGATTAGTGCATTGTTCTATCATAAATTTGAATTTTTTCCTTATTTCGATTTTCTTACGATTAGATATAGTAATTTTGGATTAATTAAAAACGTTAAAATTCGTTTACAAACTAATACTAATTTCAATAAGAAAATGAAGAAATTGTATGAAAACAAATAAAAAAAATAATCTCATATATATATATACACGTGTGCGAAATTAAAATAATAAATTTTAAATTTATCAAAATTTGGAATTACGCAATTCCATATAGAATTTCATTTATGAGTTCACTTTTTATAATTTTAAGAAAAAAGTTCATAATTTTTTTAATTAAACTAAGTAAAAAATTTAAAACGAATTCCAATTCAGTCTAAAATTAGAAAGTGCACATAATATTTAAATTTACATGTATAACTTTTCATTAATCAAAAGGAATTGGACGATTTGGAAATGAGCATGAAAGTTTTGTAAAAAAAAATTATAATTAAATACAATTCTTAGAGATTAAGGCATGTAAAAAAATTGTCTTTTGGACTGTTCTCGGGCCAACCTGTTAATTTTATTAATTTTTTATATTTTTAAACTTTAATTCTTATTTTAATAGTTTTACTATTAGTTTTCTTATTATATATATTTTATAATTAAAAATTTATTTTTTAATCATATTAATCCGGTTCGTTTATGTGTGCGGGGCAAGCCCGTTAATCGTCTTAACTGACCTGGGCCGTACCAGATCCGACCCGGATCATCTCCTGTAAAGGACTACCAACCCCTTGCAGGGCGCAAGGCAAAAAGGCCAACAGAGAGGGGCAAAACCGTAAATATGCATGTCCCCTCGAGCTGAGTAGTTTCCGTTCAGACACGTCTCTTCTTGTTCAGCTCCGAAAATTTATGACCCCAGATTACCGGACAGCTTGGTCTCTTCGGTTCGTCAGTATATATGGTTTTACTGTGAGTCAACTCTATCCAATCCTAAACTCCTTCAATATTGCCTTGTGATTAAAAATCACAAATTTTGTTTTTTGAATATATAAATTTATTCCTCTTTTTGGCCTTTGATAACGCTCCTAGGATCGTCCCTTTCGCTTAATTTTATCTCTCTCTCTCTTGGAATGGATTCTCTCGTTTCCCTCATTTTCCCTTCGGTTGCTTTCCGCCGTTCCTGATTTCTGTTTGGATGGCGAGAAACAGTAGGAAAAGAAGAGTGGGTTAAATTTTCAACCTCGAGTTTCCTGCTGCAGTTGGGAAGCTATTGGACTAGGTATGTGTGTATTCTATTCTACCTTGTTTGTCTTTTCTCGTTAGTATTTTTTAAACAATTCCTATACTTTTCCTTGAGTTTACCGGGAAACAAACGCTGGTAGAAAATGGTATCTGCCCATGGATTTACTTCATTGACCGAACTGGGTTTTGTCTTTCCATCTTCATTTTCGTCAGAAAGATTTCGACTTTTCATTCCTCAACCTTATCAGAGTTTCTCAAGCAAACCCACATCCAAAATCTCTACAAGAATCCGCTGCCACCAAATTCCCTGCTTTGTTTTCCCAAAACCTAGTAACCACGAGAATTCAGGGTGTTCAGGTCCGTAGAACTGGACCAATTTGTAACAAGTGACGATGAAGAAGAAGCTAGCGATGGGTTCTTGGAGGCAATTGAGGAACTTGAGAGAATGGCGAGAGAACCATCAGATATTTTGGAGGAAATGAACGATCGTCTCTCCGCCAAAGAATTACAATTAGTGTTAGTTTACTTCTCGCAAGAAGGGAGAGACTCATGGTGCGCACTTGAAGTCTTTGAGTGGCTAAAAAAGGAGAATCGAGTGGATAAAGAGACGATGGAGCTGATGGTTTCTATCATGTGCGGTTGGTTTAAGAAGTTGATTGAAGGAGAACACGAGGTTGGTGATGCAGTTGACCTTCTGGTAGACATGGATTGTGTTGGACTGAAGCCTGGTTTTAGCATGATTGAGAAAGTGATATCATTGTATTGGGAGATAAAGGAGAAGGAGAGAGCAGTTTTGTTTGTGAAGGAGGTATTGAGGAGAGGTATTGGTTATTCACAAGGTGATGGAGATGGACAGAAAGGAGGTCCTGCTGGGTATCTTGCTTGGAAGATGATGGTAAAATTTAATATTCATTATATGTTTATTAATGCCATAGCTTACAAGTTTTAGCTTATTATATTAGGGGGCTTTTACCCTTTTTGCAGAACTTTTCTTTTCCATGCTAAATCTTATGTGCTATTGTTGTTTGTGTTTGAAACTTGGTGCTCTTAAGTTCAGGCCTTTATTAATAATTACAAACAGATAGGCAACCACTCTGTGGGATTGAACGTTACTCTTTTATTCTGCTGGTTAATTGTGACTTATCCATTCATCAAAAACTGTTGATGCACTTGTTTTCTGAAAGTATGTGACCATATATATGTTTAGAGGTTATCTACCATCTTGATATTATTATGGCAAAATTTTTAGGCTATGAACGAACAAATTCAGACAATTTTGGATTTGCAAGTTCGAAATAGTTCGATTAAAGAAAGGTTTAAATTTTATTAGGAGATGGTAAAAATTGAACTCAGGCTAAAATTCCATTGAGGGTATCTCTAAATGGATCCTTACATGGAATTCTGTATGATTTTAAAATTTCTTATTTTCTGGTAGAATTTATATCCTCTTCTAATTGAATAAGTCTAAATTTGCAAATAGATTCTGTAAAATTTATGTATTCATTCCAAATATAGCCTTAAATATATCTAGAGATGAATGTCTGGCGTCTCATGAGTGAGCTGAGTATAGCTCCACATATTATTTTTTTATTCCAAACATACCCTTGATAAAATTATCGATGGTTCAATTACTAGGGAAGATCTTGACAGTTTTATAATTGTGTGAAGTTGGCTACCAGTTCGTTTTTCTTAGACATGGATG